GTCAGAAGAGGTCTGCCACACCGTGTGGGTTAGCTCCCTGGTTGGGGATCAAATTCAGGCTACAGTGCTTTGGAGAGCTTCATAATGCAATGCTTTAATCCATTGCACCACCAGGGAGGGGCGTGATCTGCTTTTTAAGATTTACTCAGGACAAAATAGGAAGCATGCACAGACTAAACACAAGTGAGGAAATTGAAACAGTAGTCAAATTCTTCCAAAGAACACAAACTTAGGCCCAGATTATTTTACTGAGTCATAACAAACCTTCAAAGATGAGCTAATATGTAGCCTTCTCAAATTCTCTAAAAATAGAGAAGTTTTTATGAGACCAATATTATCCTAATAACAAAGAATATTACAAAAAATGAGAATTAAAGATCAGTTTCTCTGATGAACACAGAAGCAAATATCCTCAACAAATCTACACAAAGTGAATAAAAAATACATTAAAAGTTTATATATTATGATCAAATGGGGTTTACTCCAGGGATATAAGGATGGTTCAACTTACAAAAGTCAGTTTAATTTATCACATCAATTAAATAAAAGATAAAACCATATGATTTATTAGTAGATGCAGAGAAAGCATTGAAAAAGATTCAACATCAATTGATAATAATGAAACTAGATCACCATATTACACCATATACAAAAAAGGTAATGCAAAAGATAATAAAGACATGAACATAATACTCAAAGCTACAAAATTTTGGTATTTTTTTCAAAGGCTGAGAAGCAAAGCAAATATAAACAAATGGAATTATATCAAACTAAATGTTTCTGTGCAGTGAAAGAAACACACAGTAAAGCAAAAGACACCTTACTGGAAGGGAGAAAAAATTGCACTGAACATAGAACAAAAATGATGATATCCAAAATATATAGCAACTACACACAGCTCAACAAAAAGAAAACAATTAATTTGATTGATTAAAAAATGGGCTGAAAGACTAAATAGTCACTTCTCCAGAGTAGACATACAGATCACCAATAGGCACAATGAAAACATGTTTATCATCATCTGTCACCAGGAAAATGCAATTCAAACCATGAGATACCATCCACATCTATGAGAATGGCCCATATCAAAAACAGGAGAGACAGGATCTCCATGATGGCACAACGGGTTAAAGCATAGCATGATGAAGCTCTTTGAGCCACTGC